ACACACACACACACACACACACACACACACAGATACACACAGACACACACATATATATATACACACAGACACACATATACATAGATACAGACACACACACATATATACACACAGACACACACATAATATAGATACAGACACACACACATACACACACATACACACACACATATACACACACAGACACACATACACATCATGGGCCTTGGTGCCCTGCCAAGGCCTGCTCTGAATCCTCTGCCAGCCTTGCCTTGGCCCACCAAGGTGCCTCCCCAGGGACTAGTTTTTCTCACTAAGTCTCTGTTGATCACACGTTCCCCAGACTCCCTTTCCTCTGTGTGGGCAGAGACGAGCGCATGGCTTCAAGTCCTGAAAGGAGAGGGTGGGTGGGGAAAGAGGTGTATGTTCCCAGGCAGAAGGCATTCTCCTTGGGGATCCCCACTTCTCTGCACTTACCTCCTCTCTTGCTGCCCTGCCAGGCTCCTACCTTAGCTTGTTGGGGAAGGAGACTGGGAGGAAGGGAGTGTGAATTCCTCATACCCTCCCTGTCCACCCAGGTGACCGGGGGAAGTTACCTCCCCATTCGGCATCTCGGTTTCCACACCTATAAAACAGTAGCATTTGTGGAAGGAACATTTGGTGTTTAACAAACGCTCGTGTGGTGCATACTAAGTGTCCTGCTATCTTAGGTGCTTTGCAAATATTAACAGCGGGGAGGTTGCTGTACAGAGAGGGTAGACCATTTCCCTGAGACACACAGCTAGAGAATGTCAGTGTCAGAAGCTAAACCCGAGAATCCAGCACCGGGCCACACTGAACCTGCTGTGTATGGTACCACCTTGCCTCCCATCGTCTCGGGATTTCTGTAGTACAGTGACAAGACCCCCTTGATGCCCTGCCTGTTGGGTGTCTCTCCTTAATTACTCTGAATGGATATTGTGGGTTGAACTGTGTCACCTGCCTCACGGAAAGGGATGTTCAAGTCCCAATCTCTGGTCCTGTGAAATGCGACTTTGCTCCTGTGCACACATCCTTCGGATATGATGAAGCTGCACCATCAGGGTGAGTCTGATCAGCATCTCTTTCAGAGAAAGGAGGATTGGGGAGATGGTTCAGTTGGTAAAGGCGCTTGCTGCCAAGCCTGATGATCTAAGTTCGATCCCTGGGACCCACACGGCAAAAGGGAGAAAACTGACTCCAGCAAGGTGCCCTCCGACTTCCACTTATGTTCCATGGTACATGAATCCCAATACACGCACGCGCGCGCAGACACACACACATGCACACACACTAAAAAATGTAAAGTTTTCTTAAAAAAAAAGAGGAGACAGACATGCTGCAACAAAGAGGAGATGGTCATATGAAAACACAGGCAGACACTGGAGTGGTGTGGTGCTGAACCAGGAGCTGGATTACCAACCAGCACAAGACAATGGGAAGTTTTTGGTAGAGCCTTCAGAAGCAGCATGCCCGCCATCTTGATTTCAGTCCTCCAGTCCCCAGAATTCCGAGACAATAAATGTCTGTGTTTTGAGCCACCCAGGCTGTGGAATTCCAGGAAGAGAATACAAGGGTCAAAAAAAAAAAATCGTGCAGCCTTCAGGAGGAGGAGGCTCTGGAAAATACTTTGAAGGTAGTCACTTGCTGTCCCCAACCAGCTGGCTTCACTGATCTCGCATCTGGCCACATCTCATGTCATTTTCATGAACCCTGTAGGCACTCAGTCAGGCTAGCACCATCATGAGATGCACACTCTGGGCTTGGCGTGGCTGAGGAGGTGGGGTGATGGTGGGTGTGCATGCCAAATGGAGCACCCAATGCAAAACAGATATTTTTTTTTTCTTTTCAATCTTTGTGTATGTCCATCCCTGGCTGTGAGTGAAGACACACCAGTACCACAGCACACATGTGGAGGTCGCAGGTCAACCTCTGGGGCTGGTTTTTCTTCTTCCTTGTTTGAGGTAGGTTCTCTTGTTCACCAACACATACACCAAGTTATCTGGCATGCAAGCTGGTGGGGTTCTTCCTGTCTCAGCCTCTTGTTTCATCATGGGTTCGCCAGAACTACAGAAGTGCCCTATTGAGTCCAGTGGGGTCTAGAGATCCAAACTCACATCCTAACACTCACACAGTGTCCTGGTTACTCCTCTAACGCTGTCATAAGACAGTGTGTCTCCGTTAGGGTTTCTATGTCTGTGACGAAACACCATGACCAAAAAGCAAGTTGGGGAGGGAAGGCTTCATCTGTCTTACACTTCCACAGCATTGTTCATCATTGAAGGAAGTCAGGACAGGAACTCAATCAGGGTCCTGCAGCAGCGATCTCGACCTTCATGGGGCCTGAGAACTGGAGAGTTTTGGGGGTGGGGAGTGGGGTAGAGTTATATGACTATGTTCTCTGGTCCTAGGGAACCAGGATCCTCTGTACTAATAAAGGTTTCATGGGCATTCCAGGCTGCTGGAAGCCATAGGGCATCGCTGCCAGGACACTGGACTTGGGGAGTCTCGGGGACTGAGCTTGAATATGGGTCAGATTTCTCCTCTCACCTTCTCAAGCTTGCTCTACACTGGATGAGGATAAGGGTTCAACAGGTTGGCTACAGGGAGCTGCAGAGTAGCACAGAAGCCTGCTGGGAAGTCAGTGCCCTCATTTACCTCTTCCAGGCTCCTGGGAGTCTCTGTGTTTATCACCCAAACACCAGCCCAGACTGGTTTGTGGTGGGTGAGTATAAGAAGCCAAAGGGAACTTTATCTTGTGCCTCAGGCTGTCCTCAGAGGTTAGGGGAAGCTTGGCATGCCTCAGACCATTTGTCCTTGCCCATGACAGCAGCTTCCTTCTCCGTGGATGTCAGTACCCCACCCCAGGGACTAAGGAGAATCCAGGTGAAACAATCGATCCTGAACAGGCTGTGTCCCACACCAGGTTCTCTCCCGCATTGCCTCTCCCCAGCAGTCCTCCAAACCCTCCCTAGACTGTTCTCCAAAGTTCTGCTGGGTGTCACTCTCAACTGGCCCATGTTTATCAAGATGGACGAGACCTGAGACTCCAAGTGGCATGTCTAATAAAAGTCCCTCAGAATCCTAATGTGGCTGTCTAATTGTGGAATCACCGGCTCAAGGACTTCTGGGTTAAACCAGACCATCTATGACCACAAGGAGAAAGCCATAAAATCTCTATTCCCTTAGAGCAAAGCACTCACTGTGTGTACTGCCCCCCCCCCAGTAGACCTCCAGAATCCAACCTCCCTAAGCAAAGTCCAGTAAAGTGTCAGATGGGGAAGGCAGGGGAAGGAAATGGAGAGACAGACCTAAGTGTGAATCCCGGCTCTCAACCATTTCTGCCCCTTCGACCAAGAGCCTTCATCTCTCTGCATTCATTAGTGAAAGAAATGTAGCAGTTACCTCCAGTGTTGATGAGAACTCAGTGCTCCCCAGCTCTGCACACAGGGCTCCCCAGCTCGGCACACAGGGCTCCCCAGCTCAGCACACAGGGCTCCCCAGCTCTGTATACAGTGCCCGGCACATAGTGATGGCTGTTAAAGGCAATCGGATAGAAAGGGATGTTTCCGGCAGAGTCTGGTGGGTGAGCTTGCACAGCCCTGCTCTGTCTGCCATTGCTCGGCTGTGTGCCTTGGGCGAGACGCTCTACTCTCTGTGCAGTTTCTCAATAGCCCTGGGAAAAGAACGTTCTTCTTGGAGTTTTCCTTATGGAGTAGTGAGTCGAGGCACACGGCCATTATTCGCCCCACCCCGTGTCTCCGGATAGTTTATGTTATTATCATCGGCCACCCTTTGTATCCTCATATTCGGAAACTTTACTTCAAGGCTTGCATTTTAGATTTGGTATTTCTACCTGTCTGGCCATGCGGATTCTAGATCTACCTGGCCTGATCTTAACGAGCCCTTGATTCTCTGAGTTACCCAAATTTCTACCCGAGAAGGCCCCACTTCCTGGAGCTGCCTAGAAATTTCCTCCCATGACTGGCCTGGCCCTGGGTAGCCAGTAATGGCTTGGGACTCACCAAAGACACTGGCAGATCTGCTTACTGCCTGGGACCACGGTACCCAGGGCCATCTGCTTGCCTGCATCATGGCCTCTTGGGGGTGGAAATGGAGTGACAGCTTGTATTAGCTGTCTCACAAATGGGCTTGCAGAGGAACAGCATTGGGATGTGGGGGAGGTTAGGTCCAGAGTCAGGACCCTGGGGGCTCTGTCCAGCACTGAATTGCCTCAAGGTGAGGTGATTTATTCCACCCCCCCCCACACACACACCTGGGAGGGGCTACCCAAAAGCCTGTTGTCCCTGGAAGCCAGACATTTGCTATCAGCCCCTGCAGGGGTTAGCCAAGGCTGCTCAGTGGCCTCCTGCTTCCTCTTGTGCTCAGGAGAAGGGGGGAGGGAGGGCCCAGGGTGGGGGAAGGCTGCACAGCCGTGTGAGCCTGGGGTGATCGTCATGGTTACGCTCCGGCAAAACAAATGGCTGGCTTCCTGCAGGCCACCTCAACAGCCATCGCAATGTTGGCATTGATCAAGCCCGCTGCCAGCGCAGCCAGGCACTGGGCTCGGGTACCAGAGCCGGGCTTGGGAGCCCTCTCCAGTAGCCTGGGGCACAGGGAGGCAGCTGCTGCAACCGACCGTGGGGAGAGGAAGTGTTCGCCCTCACACATGTTGCTTCTGGGACAAGGTAAGGGTTGGTGCAAGCAGTGTCCTGCAGTGCAAGGACAAGGGGAGACGCATCCTAAGGGCAGAGGGTGTGCATGAGTGTATATATGCACAGAGAGTTTGTGTGAAAGTGCCTGTGTGTTCACTTTGTGGGGAGGGGCTCAGGAGGTTCCAGCATCAGAAGTGAGGATGTAACCACATGTTGCTCCCATGGCTCCCAGGCTCTCTCTCTCTCTCTCTCTCTCTCTCTCTCTCTCTCTCTCTCTCTCTCTCTCTCTCCTCTCCCTCCCCCTGTCTCTTCTCCCCCTTCTCCCTTTTCTTCCTTAGTGTCTGTTTTCTGTGTGTAATTCTCTCAGCATCTCCCCTCGTCTCTGTCTCTGTCTGTCTTTCTTTATCTCTGTCTCAGCCTCCCATCCCTGCCGCCTCTTTCCACCGTCTCCCTGTCCCCATCCTTTCTAATCTGTCCTCTAGAGCTCCAGAGCAGTCAGTGCTCTGCAGGCTGCCCACCCTCGCTGCCAAGCTCCAGGCTCGCGCCTGCTGCCCTCTGGGTGCCTGGCGTGTGGCTGTCTCCAAAGCCGCTGGCTGAGTGTGCGTTCTTCTCTGAGCTCTCACGCCCTGGGATCCTGGAGGTAAGAAGGTTCTGAACAGAGAGGTCATCCTTGGGTAGTGAGAGGTGGTGGGGTCGGGGGACTTGGCACTGTGAATGGTGATTTCTGCTAACACATCAAGCCCCTGCTGGAAGTCGCTTCATATCTCCCGCTGCAGCTCCCGAGGTCCTAGCAAGTCCTAGTATTTTATCCTGATGCTCCTGTCCCAGCCAGTGGTACAGGAGGCTTGGGAGTTGGGGGCCCAGAACCCTCTAGCCCCTCCTCCACTCTAAAAAGCAACAGGCATATCTCTCTCTCTCTCTCTCTCTCTCTCTCTCTCTCTCTCTCTCTCTCTCTC